TTTATTTCCTTTATACACGGGCACACGCAAGCGCACTACGATTGCTGCAAGCATGAGCCCTACAATATCAAAACCCTGAGTATATGGGGCTAGAATTTTTGTTCAGTCTCCAAAACCTAAACAAATGTTAGGTAGATGATGATCGTTCGACTTCTCGCTTGGGTCGATTGCGGGTACGAGTCTGCTCGGCTTCTTTCTCCAAGGGAACCGAGACTTCATCCGCGTTTTCCTCTTCTCCTTCCAGAATAGCTTGATTTATGGCAAGCTGCCAAAACACCAATAATCACAAAATAAATGAAATTAGCATAAACCCTTCACTTGACAAAGAACATTCAAGTGGAGTTGCTATACAAGTTTTCGATTTTTACTCTTTCTTGTTCCTACATGATTCATTGAAAGCGTCTTTTGACGCACTCATCATGAAATGGTGTAAAACATTCGTCATACTAAATTACTGTGAACACCTGTCTAAAGTACGTTTTTTCGGCACTTGCGTACTTAACTTCTTTTTTCCCTTGTACTCCACCGAAAAAACTTTGCGTACTTAACTTCTTTTTTTCCCTTGTACTCCCCCCTCTGAGCTATCAAGCGAAAGGTACATATAGGGTTGCAAACGACCCGAGCGGCTCGAGTCAAAGCTCGACCCGAGCTCGAGTTTGACCGAACTCGAGTCGAGCTCGAGCGGTTCAAGCACGAACTCGAGCCCATATTTTGCCTTGTCGAGCGTCTTGAGATACATGTTAAATTACTAAAATACCCCTTATATATATGTTAGCATAGGTCTTTAATGGTAATTTTACCCTTTCACTTAAAAATTTTCGAGCGGAGCTCGAGCTCGAGATCGAGCAGCTAAAAAAAAGTCAATCTTGTTCGATAAGGCCAATGTTCGACTCGGCGCGGCTCGTTTGCAGCCCTAGGTACATATCCTTCCTCCATCAAATATCAAGTTCCTTGTTGTTTTGAATTCATCAAGACAACACTTTGGTTACAGTTACCACGCAAATACAATGAAAATTAACTTGAGAAAAACAAAATAAACAACCGAATTGTCTATGATTCCAAGGATCGTAAATCCTGGGGAACCCAAAGGCCATTGAAGATTTGGTTAGTTCTAGTTCATCTATTACTTGCCATAAACATGAAAGTTACAGATTATTACCGGTCCATTTGGGACGGTGCCTCATCCCTGACCATTACCAGACCGGTTCATAAAAGTGGGATCTGTACCGGGACAAGTCAAATCTCGGACCGTCCCGGACTGCGCCCACTCCTAAGATTACCAAGACACCAAATTTTATGCAGTCATATCCAAGTTCCCTCTAATATGAACCCTCACTGTAAGATCACAGTTGGCAAAACGAATTGCTCGAAAGATATCGAAATTACCCATCAAAACAAGCAGCACATAGTGTTCATAGGTGCCAATCGCCAATGTTAGGTTAACTCGACAGGAATTTGAATGAAAAAAAAGGTATTTCTCCAAATATAATAGGAAGCGACAATTGGTTTGCGCAGTGTAATTTTTTACCTCTTCAAAGAACTTCTGGTCGAGCTTATCGGCAATTCTCGCGGAGGTGATAATGGTGACCGCGAGAAGAGAAAGCGGGAAGACGAAGGCAAATATGTAGCTGCTGGTGCTGGGACCCGCACGGGTCACCACCGAAATTCCTCTCGGGCTCGCTTTCCGGCGGCCCACTTGCAAAATTGGCCCGATTGTGCGGCCCTTTACCGGCGGCGGCGATGTTGGCTGCTTGTGGTTGTGGGCGGTGGGGATAAGGCGAGGAATGGCGAAAGAAGAGAGTGAATTGCATAGCACCATCATGCTGTTGGCGGACACTATTGTCATGTCTCCAATCTATTTAAATTATGGGCAAAAATTATAGGCTTAATTGCACATAAAATCCTCACCTATTGTGTAATTATAAATAAAACACAATTTTTTAGCTTTGTAAATAGATACCAAGCTTTTATTTTGTGGTACAAATTTGTCTCAAAATCATTTTTCGGCCAATCCTTGTTGACGTATCCGATCATAAATCTTTCGTGAAACTTATGGGGCTTGCGTGACAACAATCTTTGAAACTCCTCACCATGTTTTTGCTACATCATATGCTAACAAATTAACCAAAATTAGAGTTTAGTACGAATTGAAAATATAGAATTTTATCACCACGTTGTTTGCTCCATAATTTTCATAAAAATCGAGTTTTTCTCCCTCATTTGTAAAAGAAAAAAATATTTGTAGCGATTCTTCTCTTCTCCATGACGCGATTCTTCACCCCAACATTCCAAATACATTAATGAGCTCACCCCCAAATTCTGAAAAATTGGGCAAAGGGAGAGATTTTCGAGTGATTTTTAGGCGATCTTAGTGTTCTAATAGGACATGTTAGCAAGATTGGCCGGAAAATGATTTTGAGACAAATTTACAACACATAATAAAATGTTTGGTATTTATTTGCAAACATAAAAAAAAAAATTGAGTTTTATTTGTAATTACACAAATGGTGAGGATTTTATGTGCAATTAAACTAAAATTATATAATAAAAATATAAAATTCTAAGTGGGGCCTGAGGGGCTATGATCTGTGCCTGCATACAGTATCAGTACCTACTCACTTAGCTACTCACATAGGGTGAGCATGATACGGGGCAGTTCGATATTTGGCCTCTCCCGATACTATCACGCTTTAATGAATCAGTTCGGGAATGTTTGGGCAAGAGACACTGTCGACCAATATTCTTTTACAATCGCGACAAATCAGTTCAGTGCAAATTCCAATTTGTCACAAAGAAAAAAATGAAGGCAAGTTCAGGAACATGGATATTGCAGAGAGCATTGGTTAAGCAATCCTCAAAAACAAAAAACAAAAAAAAGATTCAGAAGCTGGAGGTTGCACATAAAAGGAAAGCTGAAACACTTTCTTTGGAAGAGCTACACCAACACACTGCCAGGAAGAGGGGAATGGAGATTGACAATATCTGTCAAAGATGTGGTGATGAAATTGAATCTATTGATCGACTCTTTTTCAGATGTCCTACAGCTCAGCAAGTGTGGAAGTTGGCTCCTGTTACTTAGGATTTCAGCAAAGAAAATACCAGCAACTTCAAGGTTTGGTGACAGAATGTTTACTATGTTGATCACAAGGAAATATCAGATTATCAGAAGCTAGAATCCAATTGACCATATATATCTTATGGTGGTTATGGAAAGCTCAAAATTTGTGGGTATTGAAAGAAGAATGGTTTCCCGTGCAGCAACTAGTTAAGGTTGCACTTAAAGACTGGCATGAGTTCACTTCTCATGTTTGCAGAAGAGGTTAAGAGTTGATAGTGCGATGACCTAAGTCCTTCACCTGGTTCAATGGGCACTCACCCTCAGCTTCAAAACTGGTTCTGTTTGCGTGTTGTCTGTTGTGTTCTTTATTTGCTTTGATTTTGTATTTATGTGTTTTAGACCTTTTATCATTCTGGTATTTAGTTTGATAGTTTGTCAGTGGGATGTTAAGCTTACAGATTGTTTGATTGCCTCAACATGTTGTATGTAGTTTGGTTTAGGTGTTGGTGTATGTTAGCTCTAGACCACCTTGTAGTGTGGCTCTCGTGTTCTTTGTAGCATTGAGCTGTTTAGCTCTCGTATTGTATCTCTGTACATTTAGTTGATATAAAATTCTCTATCTTTACGAAAACAAAAAAAAAAAAAAAAGAAAAAGAAAGAAAAAAAACCATCATCAAGTATTTTTTCAACACTACATTACGGGAAGCATATAAATATAATGCCGATGTATATATAGTACAAGTGCATATAAATTATCTATACGTAATGTTTTATACAAATGTAAATAAACGGGCTAGATGAAATGATCCGTGACAAAAAAAATTTGAAACCAATATTGACATTGTTTTAAATGATTTTGTAATAACAACGATACTAAAATAAAAAGAATCTTTGAAACCATTTTTTTTCGAAATGGGACAACTTTGATCCAATTCGATATTAAAAAATTCGTTTTTTTTGCACACGTGACATACACAATACAACACAAGTATGTTTATAAATAAAATAACGGAGATTCTACGGTTCCATTACGCAACCATTATGTCGGGATTTGTAACCGTTAAATCAACTATCCATGACTGTTAAATGATAATCAAACGGTTACAAATCTCAACGGAATAGTTCCGTAACGAGACTGTAGCATTTTTCATAAAATAAAACAAACTAAATAAATATAAATAATAAGATAAAAAATTCAGGTTCAACTCAGTCGTCGTGAAAAACCTAAACCTAAACTACATATAAAATGCAAGAATCAAATAGAGAAGGCAACTAAAATCTCACAAATCTCTCTCCAGAC